TATATATATATATATATATATATATATATATATATATATATATATATATATATATATATATATATATATATATATATATATATATATATATATATATATATATATATATATATATATATATATATATATATATATATATATATATATATATATATATATATATATATATATATATATATATTATTATATATAATTATATATATATATATATATATATATATATGAATATATATATATATATATATATATATATATATGAATATATATATATATATATATATATTTTTTTTTTTGATATGAATAAAAATTTAATATTTTGATATCCTCAAATTTTATTTTTTGGATCATAGATTTGGATTGTAGATAATTGATAATTTTCTTGTGTGTGTAGCTTAAACCACCTAATTGGTAGTCTTAGTGTGTTAGAACATAAATAAATAACATTTAAAATAAATAAGAGAAAGTTAAATAAAAAATTAAAACACGTTAGACATTGTTGTAAGACAAATCTCATCATCATGTGGGATGGTTTCGAGAGATACCCGAAGATACGATCGTGAAGCCATTCCTGTATGCACGAGCATTGAAAAACAATATGAATCTTTTAGTTCGTATGAAAGAAAACAAGAAAAAAAATATGAGAAATATTTTCGAGTGAAAGAATATCTTTAATTGCATAATCATAAATAAGATTTTCCTATTTTTGAGTGAAAGAATGCTTGAAATCCTTAAATGGCTCACGTTCATAACATCATAAAAAGGAAAGAAAAAAAGTGATAAAAGAAATAAAAGAGAGTAAAATTTTTTTTTGATATTTTTCGTTACTCAATCCTGACCATCCCCCACAAAATTTCAAAATTATTTAATATTAAAAAAATACTACTCAAACTTATACATTGTGATTAATGAAGCACTTTCATAAGACTTAAACGTTACACAGTATAAATAGTATTTATTTGAAGAAAACATAATGAATAAGGTCTTGAACTATATTTCTTTGACTTTTATTTTTATTATCAGACATGTTGTACAGAATATTGTATTGTATTGTAAGGTTGCGTGTTTATGGTCATGTGAATATATTTTGATTTATTCTTGAGAGTTTCTATAGATTCTCCAAATCCCCAATCATCCATGAATACTCCCAAACATAAAAACTTGTACGTATGTAACGTCACATCTCACGAAACATAAAGCTTTGGGTCTTTTTATAGCAACACTCTTTCTATAGTTCTACACGAGTAATAAAATAATCACCATACGAATAAAGATTGAACTTAAACTCTATTTATATAATTAATTATCCGACTTATTATTGTCACATTAAGTCTTCTTCAGGCTCATTATAAGCTAACATAAGTTACTACTCTATAAGATAAAAGTCTTTCCATTTGTACCTTTAATAAGGCCATCGTGATATATTTATTATATAGTCATGTCATTTTTTTTATTACTGGAATCCATAATGAAAATAAAAATATTTTTTATTTTGATTTAAATCACATATAGTTAAATGCTAATAATAAGCATGTCAATAAACAAATTGCCCCTACATTTCTAATAAAATTTAACATGAAGAAATTAATAACCTATGATATTACACAAAAAAGCTGATCATTAGCAATTTTTACAAATATTATTAAAAAATTAAATAACATAAATATTATCAAGAAAATTTAGCTGACAAAATGATATTTTACTTTGTAAATAAAGCACTCACACACTTCTATAATAATAATATTAACCATGAGCAGCATATGACAAAATTGATACCCAAGCATGGATTATTAAAACAGATTATGAGTGAGAAATGTTAAAGTACTATATTTAAAGCCTTTTATAATGAATGACAGCACATGAATCCATTTGCATATATATTATAAGAGGAACAATCCCTAAAAAGTGATCTCTCTAGAGTGGCAAATTAAATTATGCACTTATAGGCGAATAGTTTATTCATCTACATCGATATGAGCATATATCTACAACTACATGCACTAAAACAAGCATGAAATCATAACATGATAGAAGGTTATTTATTTATTTATTTATTTTATTATTCTAGTTCAAATGAAGCTTCATGTCAATAAGCATAAACAAAGCGCAAATACAGAAAATTCTGATGATTGAAATATAAGCTTTCATTGTATTTTAAGAGGTTTCGAATTTGAATATGGAGAAAATAAATTATGAGAAGTTTAATTATAGGAAATTTATCTTATAAATGTCGTATATTTATTGTGAAGTATAGAAACTAAGTTTTATATTGGTTAATAATAATCTTTCCACCTAAATTAAGGCTAATTATATATTATCCTTGTAATTAGATATTCTTAATATTTTATATTTTATATTTTAAAAAATTATAATAATATTCCTATATTTATGAAAATAAAATTATCTTTTTAGTGTTTCACTTTCATAAATATAAGGATTTCAATATAATTTTTAAAAATTAAAAATTAAAATACTAATAATAAGAGAAATAATATATAATTAGCCTCCTAAATCATGTTAATTAGCATCTTTCTCTTCTTCCTTTCTTGGCCTTGTCATCCCATGGGTTAGGCATCAGAACACAAATCACAAGGCAGGTAGGTTTCTGGGTAAACGGAAGATGTTAGATCTTTTTTTCTTTGAACACGTCAGAGCCGCCTTGTTTGACCGAACAAAGAATTAGCTCCATCGACGACGGATGGCGACGCCGATTAATGTGCTTCGTGATTCGTGCGGGCGCGGATCGTAGAGCAGATCCGTTCGTCGTGACGGAGACCATGAACGTGTGGGGTTCCATCAGAGAGCAATAGTGTCCAAGCCGTCACCCACTAACGTCGCGGGTTAGGTGGGCTTTCGCTGTACGTTAACCGCCTTAACATGTCCCTCGCGATCGCTTGGCCTTCGCCCCATGAATGGGTGCTCGCCCATGGCATCACCGTTGAAGTGTTTCTCCCACCAACCCCCAGCCACCAACCAACCCACCCATCATCATAAGGGTCCAACCCTCGGCGCCTATAAGGAAGCGACTCCTTCGCCGCTACTTTCGCACAAAGCGGGGCTGCCTGGACGAAGGAGTGGGTGGAGAACGCGCCGGCGATGGGGAGCATCGGGGAACAGGAGAGTGGCAAGAGCGGCCGGCGGAAGCCGCGGTTCCTGTGCCTTCACGGCTTCCGGACGAGCGGGGAGATCATGCGGGCGCAACTGGTGGCGAAGTGGCCGGAACAGGTCATCTCCCGGCTCGACCTCGTCTTCCCCGACGCTCCCTTTCCCGCCGGCGGAAAGTCCGAGGTCGACGGCATCTTCCCTCCCCCTTACTACGAGTGGTACCAGTACGATAAGGTGCTCTCTCTCTCTCTCTCTCTCTTTCTCTTCCTTTAACACCGTAAGTATTTATGATCATTTATTTGTGTGGGATGGAATTAGGACTTTATGGTGTACACGAATCTTGACAAGGCTTTTGCCCGGGTGGAGGAGCTGATGATCGAACAAGGGCCGTTCGATGGTCTGATGGGTTTCTCTCAGGTAAATAAGACAAGTTTTAATGGTCAGTGTGTAGAATTAGCGATTTAATGGGTCTGAGAAGGAATTATTAATGGAATTATTATTTGGGTAACTTTCAATTAGGGAGCGATTCTTTCCGCCGCGCTTGCGAGTCTGCAATCCAAGGTTTGATTTGGGGTTTCGCCATGCGCAGTTGGATTCGTCTTCCTCTTAAAATAACGTTATGAGTGGATAGGGATTGGCGTTGACGACGGTGCCGAAGCTGAAGTACTTGGTGTTCATGGGAGGTGCGATGTTTAAAGCACCGGAGGTGGTCGAGAGGGTCTACTCTGCCGCCAAGATCGACTGCACCTCGCTTCACTTCATAGGTAATAGATGATCCATGTATATATTTATCGTCTTCGTTAAAACGTCGTATACTTTGGACCCTTGGATTAGGAACCGACGGTCGATAGCTTCCTCGTTGACAGTGGACTTTGTTTGGAGTGACGCGGTCGTCGGTCATCGAATCCAATTCCGTGGAAGCCTTTCACCATTAAAAATGATAGCGCGAGTGTGTGTGTGTTTGCTACTTGTGGAGGAATTACGATTAGAAGAGCATCACTGCTATCATTTGTGCAGGTGAGAAGGACTTCTTGAAGAAGAATGGCGAGCAGCTACTGGGGAAGTTTGTCGATCCGTATCTCATCCGACACCCGAGAGGCCACACCGTTCCCAGGCTCGGTGAGTTCGCGTGCCTCTGCGTTTGCTCTCTTCGTCGGTGATAGACGAAGATAGTAGTTGATAGAGCCATTGTTGAGTGCAGATGACGAGGAGAGCCTCAAGACGATGCTCGAGTTCCTGCAGAAGATTGAGGGTGATTTATGTGAAGATGCAGCAGCAGTAGATGATGCTTGCAAGGAAGAGTGTTCAGCTTGAGTTGACTAGCTATAAACTCTTTCCATCAACTGTTTTGCAACGCCTCTTTTTGCCTTCATTTTCCTGTTACAAATGTATTCGCATATGATGCCAGTTATAAGGCTTTGTATTGATTACTCCTCGCAACCTCAAACTCAAGTAGATAATATGTGATAATGATAAGGATCATTTGGTCGATCGATCATTGGTGTGGTCTATAGACTCACGAAGAATTATTCGTTTTGAACGATAGATATACCAGCACGATTTTACCCTTTCGTAATCTCCAACGAACTTATGAGCCTTATGAGCCTTTAGGAAGCCTTACCCCCATTCACTACGAAGGGGTCTCTATATTGTTTGTACAAGGAAGGAAAAACTTCCCTCTCAAATTATTAAGAGCAATAGATGCCCTCATGTGCTTGCAGGTGAGGTGGTCAATGGAGTAGATATATTATGCAAAGTTGGTGCCAAAGGAAAGATCAAATGTGTTGACAAAGACATGTAGTAGTTGATTAAGAAGAAGCAAAACAATCCATTGCCATGGATGATATCTGAAGAAGAAACTATGGTGACAAGCAGTCATCAGGTGTAGTCTATATTTCAATTTTATGATTTTTCTGGGGTATTCTGTTGGGATAAAAAAAAAATAAATTAAATTAAAAAGATAACAAATTAGAAAGAATTCAGAGACATGTAATTATTTTTTAAAGACGAAATCTCTTCCTGAGATTGATATGAGATTTTCACTCTAATATTTTCTCCACATCTCTTGATGAATCGAATAATAAATCAAAATAAAAAAAATATATTTAAACAAGAGACAAAATTATATTGACCTCTAAACTGAATTTATTAGGATTTTACAATGAAAAGATATACTCAAATTAAATCCAACAAGTTCCTCCTACTCTCCTCGGCCATATCAACTAGTCAACATGTTCCTCCTGTTCAGGGCTGCAAACTCATTAGCAGAATAATTCTGGGATATAAAGCAGCCACCCTATTAGAAAAGTGGCATCAAACTCAATCATGTCTACTTAGAAATAATCGAAAACATCAATTTATCAACAAACTTGACATTAAGAGACATCAAACTCGTCACAAGCAATCTAACTCAACATATTGAGCTTTATCAATGAGTTGTTGACCTTTATGGGGTGGAGTCCACAGAAACATAATTATAGCTTCCCCAACATCTTTTGACCATTGCGTGGAGGATAAACAAAATGGATGTCTCAAAAGTGTGGATGACTAATTCAGGAGGATGAGAACAAATGCAATGTGGCAACGTTACATGGCTATCTTTTATGGAACATGAAAGACTTTAAGCTCAACAACAAAAAGCCATACAATAGGAAAAGACCAAAGAAACAACAAACAATTAGTCTCAATTTCAAATCTCCATTGAAAAGCTTCAACCTGGATTTATTTCACCATTAATTCTGACATTTACTTGGAACTAATTTAAGCCTGATCGATCCACGAGCCAATTCAATCTAAGTCAGGTCTATTTGGGTTGGATTTCTTCGGATCGAATCAAGTTGAATCATTAACATTCAAGTTATACTCATATTATAATCGATTCACACTCATTTATTCATAAAACTTATTAAAAATATATTAAATTTTATATAATTTTTTTTCTAAATTTATCATAAAATTAAAAACTAGTATATTGTTTGTTAGAATCATATTCTAATAGAATTCTTAAAGTTTTGATAATTAATTATCTTAAAATATCTAAAATTAATAAATTTATTAATTTTAAAATAGGTTAGATAATCAAGTTTAATTCATTTCAATTTCAAGTATATCTAAGTCAATATAGGAAATAGGAAATAAGAAAGGCAGGATTTTGTAATTAGGTTTATGATAAATTTAGGATAAGTTTATATAGAAAATAAAATATTTTTTAATATGTTCTATGAAGGAGTATAATTTGAATATAACCCGAGCATAATTCAAACATAACAACTTTCTTAAATAATTTAGGATAATTATATATATATATATATATATATAATAACTTAATTTTATGATAAATATAAGATAATTTTATATTAAAAATTAACATATATTCTTAATATGTTCTTTGAATGTTTGTAACTAGAGTGTAATACCTTTTAAGGAGGATGAAAGTGAAAGGAAAGAGACAGATGAGGAGGAGAGAGAGCGTGTTGGTGGGGAAGTAGAAGAAAATGACAGTGGAGGTGGAGTGGGTAGAGGAGACAGGTGGAGGAGGGGAGGGGAAGGGTGAGGAGGTGGTAAAAGAAAGTGACGGAGTGAAGGTGAGAGATAATTAAAAAAAAAATCAAGAAATAATCTAAGACTCAACTAAATAAATTGAATAGTTCAAATTTAATAGAACCAATTGATTCATTAAAAAAAATCAATTTAATAATTAAAAATAAAATCAAAATATAATCATCATATATAACCAATTTTATTGAGAATATTTTGATTAAAAAATAAAAAAAGAGTAAAAATCAAATATAAAAAAACTCAGAGATTTTTCTCGATAAATTGCCCTTATCTTTTTGCCAGCTTCATGTGGTGCCTAAGCTGTATGCTAGGCCACTAAGGTCCTCGAATACCACCATTTCTACCTATCAAATCACACCAGTTTATTATTTTGTTTCCATCACACCAAAGCACGATTACTCAATAATGAATTTACCTAATGAGCAAGTGGCAATAAATGGAGGCCTCTTATTACCTTCGCTCCATGTTTCACCATGCACACATCTCGACCTGTGTCACTGGTGGTAAAGTGAAAGCATAAAAAGCATCATCTGACTAATGGGGTACAAGAAGCATGAATCAGAAGTACTATTTTCTTTTGGAAAAAAAAGGTTACTATTTTCGTCTTCTCAAAAACATAAAGAGAAAAAGGAAGCTCCAGTGGAAACTTCTCTTGGAGTCTAGTTACTGTTCAACTTTCAGCTAATTTATACCTTCTAGACTGAAGAAAGTATCAACCACCATGCAGATTAATGTCCGAGATGAAATAGCATAGCAGAGAGAACAGAAGCTGGGTCCATGGTGGGTCTTCCTAAACCCAATATGCCACTTTGTTCCGAAGCTGTTCATATCAGATTGGGGAGTGGAAAGAGACTCCATTCTTAGCATGTTAAAGCAGCAAAGGAGTCCCACAGGGAGCCATCAAAGGCATAATTCAAATGATTGCACCCAACAGAGGGAAAAAAAAGAAGCAAGCAAACAAAGAAGAAGGAAGATACCTCTTCTTTCTTTCCGTAGCTCCTCAAAGGTACCAGGGCAGAGATAATAGTAATGGCAATGGAAACAGGTCTAGTTAAAACCTTCATGGGCCACACGTTGATAGGAGCGGCTCACCTGCCCATCAATACGAGCAGAAAAGCCAATGGCCTGCGGTCCTAAAGGTGCACTAGTCTGATGATAGAGCCAGTCCAATCAATGAACTGTTACCTTCTCTTGGGGACCATAGGCTAACCATGTGTTGACCGTTGGAGTGGTGAAGACTTTGCCTAAGCTGTAATAGACACAAGTCTCCATGAACATATCATTTACCGGCACCAGGCATAAGAGTAACTATATGGGGACAACCATGACCATGACCATGACCATGACCAGCGCATTATGAGGAAAGTTGAAACAAAATTCAAGTTCCTACCTCAAATTTAGGTTCATGTGAGCAAACAATAAAAGCACCAGATGATAAATCTGAATAATCCACTGATGAACTAGAACTTGAAAACTCTTCAGAGTAAAGGAAATAATAACAAAAGTTCAGATTCCTAACTCAGGTTTATGTTCACATAACCAAGCAATAAAAGCACCAGATGAACTGTGATCTAAATTATCCACTAATGAACTAAAACTCTTACATAATAATAAGGAAAACTCTTTTGGAGTCTCGAATTTCACCTCAGCCTGAAAAACCAGTTGCTGGAAGGTATAAATGTGCTCCGGAGATGCACCTTCTTGCCTTCTCCAAAGAGATTAATAGAATGTGAGGCCACAAATAGTCGTTCAGAAGTTTTAAGGGTCTGCTACCATCTGAAAACCCAGTTGAAGAGGTTGATTGTGTGGTCATGCGGCCTCGCTCTTAAATCAAATTGTAATGCTAAGAAAACCTCCTAGAAATAATAGCTTATTTATACAACATCCTCACACCAATTTCTTCTCTCCGCCATCCACTTGATTGGACTACCAAATGTGCAATAGAAACAAAAATATTCAATTAAAAGATGATATTATCTCTGATGTTCTTCTAACATAAATGTCATTCCAGCAGCCCAAACAGAAGAAAATGAGAGCAGAACAGAAGATACACCCGAATTATCTTCCCATGGAATGAAGAGCAAGAATCATCTTAAGGATCAAGAAGACCACCCACCAGATTCACCCTCTCTGCACTGATCGGAACCAGCTGCCTATCTCAGAATAAGATCATTCATCGGCCCACAAGACAACTGCAGATATTCTTCCTCCTGATAGCTGTTTCATGGAACGAGTAACACTATAAGATCTTCACGAAAGGCGGTGCATCATTTCTCCGGCCCACTAGGGAACGATACATGTATAATTTCTCAACAGCTTCGTCCTCAGCTTCAGGTCGATCTCTAATCACTTCAACAGCCAAGCGTGGCAACCTCTGAGCCACATCCTCACAACCCCTATGAGACAGCTTGCATGAAGACATCCAAAGGAACCTCATATTGTAGTAATGGTGAATCCCAGATAACAGTGCTGGATCCCCAAAAGGGCTATCCCTGATCTCAAGCTTCTGCAGTTTGGGGCATCCTTCAAGCACATACCTCAGCCCCATGTCACTGTTCCCTGCAAAAGCAACAGATAAAGTTCTGATTGACTTCCCAAACTTCCCAATGTACCCGAATGCCTTGTCGGTAAGCAACCCAGATACTGCTAGCCTGGTGAGCTTCTTGCAGTTCATCACTATAGCGCCAAATCCCTCGTCCATGGGCTCTCCAGTATGGTGGTCAGGAAGGTGGCGAGCCATGATACAAAGGCGAAAAACGACGAGTTCCTGGCAATTCTTGGACATCGTTAATACTGCCTTATTGGTCATCCGCTGGCAGAAATACAGAATAGATTGGAGTTTACGGCAGCCCTCAGAAATAGCAGTGAGGCCAACATCTGAAACAAACCCCTCAGAGTCCTCTGTTGCGTCTAAAGGGAACACCCGCAGCTCTCGGAGGTCCTTACATGTGGCTGCCACTGCCTGAAGCCCCTCATCACGCACAGTATCAAGGACCTAGATACAAGACACAAAGAACAGGGAAATTTAGATGCCAAAATGGATAAAATTAGATTAGATCAACTCAAGTTGGAAATGGCAACTACCCAGAAATTCTGCAGATTATGGCAATGACGGATCACAGGCTTAAGCTCCTCTGCGGTTATCTCAGCAAAGCTGAAGTTAAGGAAGGTGATGTTGGAACAAACCGGGTAAATGGCAGGGAGGAACTGAGATGCCACCTCACGGAAGCCGGACAGAGAAACGAGTGACCTAGAGGCGGCAAAGGCAGATACAAGATGGGCCTCATGCTCCATTCCTTCTCCCTCTTCAGGGGATCTGAAGGACCCTGTGCCAAGGTGGGTGAGCTGGGGTGCCCGCACCATGAGGCGGCGGAGCTGGTCCACTGTGACATGGTGGTTCACCCGCAGCTGCCGGAGGGCAGGGGATCGGGCAATGAGCGCCTCCAACGCCTCGAAATTGACTGCGGATGGCAGGCAATCGAACCCTAGCGTCTCCAAGCTTGTCGTTGTCTCCGGGAACTTGGAAATCCAATCCACAACCTCATACTCCTCTTCCTCGAAATAGTCCTCTATCAGATCTAGCAGCCGGAGATGCCTAAGGACAATCCATCGGTCAACCAATTTCACAAAACCAAGAACCCCACATCAAAATGGTATGCAGCTTATGCACTCGAAGCTGGAGTTGAATTACTCCAAGGTCAATGCTTCTTAGATTTATCACACAGCTCAGATCTAATTGGAGACAAAACAAGCTGAGTGGTAAAAGAACTCTTACCTGCACTTCTCGGCGAAGACGGCGAGGCCGGCGGTGCCGAAGCCGTCGCAGCAGATGAGCGTGAGACCCTTGAAGAAGGGGAAGGAGAGGGCGAGGAGGGAGAGGTCGTCGTCGGTGACGGACATTCGCTTGAGGCAGATCTTCTCGAGCCAGGGGTAGCCGGCAGCCATGGCGGAGGCCCAGGGGGAGAAGTGGGCGCCCCAGCCGATGGGCACCAGACCGAAGTCGGCGAACCGGGGCTTGCCCTTGAGGACTAGCGACCGGACGCAACGGAATCGGTCGATGGCTCGCCGCGGGGAGACCGCGTAGCAGTTTCCGATGAAGAGCTCCCGCCGAGTCTGGGCCTCCGCCCGATACCACGACCGACACACCAGCGACACCGCGTTCCGATCCCGGCGAAACGTCAGGAACTGAAGCACGTTCTCGAGGACGTTCTCCAGCACCTGGTCGCACAACGGCGGCGGCAGCGGGTCCGGTGCGCCTCTGCTCTTTCCAGCTACGCCAAGGCCCGGCGCCCAGCTGTCCTTCTCCTCTCCTCCCCCATCCTCGTCCTCCGACATGTCCGACCTCTCCTCTCTCATCCCACCGAGAGAGAGAGGTGAGCAACGAAAGGCGGACTGCAAACCGAGATTTAGGGTAGCTTAGTTTGGGGGCGGAAGAGAAGAGAGGGAGACGTCATGTGAAAAATAATACAAGAATTATTTTTTTAATATTAATTTTTATATCAGAGTAAAAGAAGATGAGATCTGTACGTGATGGTCCTAATTTTCCTATTAAATATTTATACAAGTATTAATATATGTTATTTCGTGATTACCGTCTCAGATTCAGCCATCGCCCTCCCACCTTAAGGCGTTGGGAATCGCCCTCCACCACGCTTTCCACTGCCACTGTCTCAAGAACTCACCTCATCTCCACTTTATTTTCCATCTCTTCTTTTATCCCGTCCGTCTCGATTTATTTGGGCATTTCCTTATTCTCTGATTTGATCAAATCTCTTCAAATTTAAAATAATATTTATTTATTTATGTGCCCAAAAAAAAGAGTGAGTACGAGTTGCTGGGGCATCAAGATATTTATGGGAGGCTCGGCCTAACTTACTACCCTCTGCAGTTATTTACGTTTGACTCCCACGGTATAACTTACCTCATCCCATCACACCCGGTTTCTATCATGAGCGGTGAGAGCATGCACCGTGGGTGTCAGTCATCCCCTGGCACCTGGGCCCTGCGGTGGGCTCCGCTGGCGGGCCAATCAACAGGGCAGGTACAACAAGTGCGCACCAAAAGGGGTTTCGGAGATGAGGACGGTGTCAGTGCGGCAAGTTCGCTTGATTTGATATCGATTTTGAATGACCCGATGAAGAGGGGGAGAGAGTGACAGGATTTGGGCTTATCCATCCGCCATTGACATGCATGGAAATTATTGGAGCTTCATCCCCCCCTGCCTTTTGCATCCATCCATCCATCCCTTCACACTCTCCTAGATTAACATATGGTCTCAAAGACAAGATGCCGTCGTCGATTGCCTCGCAGAAGCTTACCAGTACATTGAGCTCAGTAGTTCTGCAGCTGCTCTAGCTAATTGTGACTTCTAATCATGGAGGGGGTGCACATGGCCCTGAGATCTTGACAGCATCATCCATGCCTCCTCCTCCTCCTGAGAAAAATGGATGCACTTGTGAAGAGCAGCCTTATCCTCCAACAAGCTTGCTTTTTTTCTCTTCTGCAAGAAAAGATGGAAGTTGACTGGGTGTTGAAGGGACACAAAGAAGCACAGTTCAGAAGAGAAACTGACAAAAAAAGAAATAACTACTCAAAGACTTTCTATGCTGCAAATGCTTGGAAATGGACAAATCAGAGCTCTCACTCTTTACCAAAGGCATGCAGGCACACAAATGGCAGGTGTCAAAAGGAAACAAGGAAGAACAGTTCAGAAGGGAACCGATCGAAGCACTAATCTTCACAAGTTTCTTATAACTATATATACATATTCTTGTCCTAAGCTGTAAAAATGGACAAACTAGAGCTCCAACTTTTAGGCACCTTGGATCAGATTAAGAGTAGTCGCTAGAGGAAGGAAGGCACAAACAGTAGTCTCAGGTCGCTCGTCACGGTCTCCCAAGGCCACAATGTACAAAAGCCTGAGCAAATAAAATAAGGAGATTCCAGTTGTGAATGATTTGAGTGTGGATCTGTCGCGTACAAATGACTCCGCAGCGACGCTCTGGTATGGACCTCCTTTTCGTACTACCGGGATGGGTTGACAGGGGTGAGGAAGGCAGAAGACAAACAAAATCCAGGCCAGCAGTGCACACCCACCAGAGGATCTTTACTTTGGGAAGTGGGAGGCAGATGAGATGGTCTGTGATTGGATGTCCTTCTCTGCAGCAAATCCAACCACCCACGAGGCAGTAACTCGTATGGATTGATGTTGGTGCACGCTATCTGTTTGTGACTTTTCCCCAGGTGCTGTTCTCTTTTGGTTTCTCAGTGGGGGAGTGGTCTTGGCAGAGACTCTAAAGTTTGGGCAGGAGATGCATGGTCACGTTAGCCTCTTTTGAAGTGCAGGAAAGAGTCGAATGTGCATTGCATTGCATGGCATGGCATGGCATGGTGGCGGAGATGACTGCACACAAACGCCATCAGCCCATTTCTCCGGCTGCAGGTAGTCCTGTTTAACAGTTCCTGAATCGTTTGTCTCGGTTTTAGAACGATCGATTTTCGTTTCATAATTATGATCTGATTCTATTACATTTGAAATCATAATTAAAATCATTGATTTCGATTGATAATAAAATAAAATAAAATTATTTTCTCGTTTCTGATTCTGAATTGATTTTGATTAAATTGTATGACTTGATTTAAAAAAATAAATTAAATTATTGAGTCGACTTAATTCCAGATGGATTCGATACTAATTGAAATCAAATCGGATCAAACCTACTTGTAGGACATATATACACACTTATGGTAACTATTTTCATTAGTTTTAGAATATTAGTCAATACTTAATATGTAACGATGCTAAAATAATATTATTTATTTTTAGAATATTCTATTTTGGCACTGAGAGAAAAAAAAAAAGAGAGGTAATTTATAAGAGGATATAACTCTATTTTCATTAGTTTAGATCTAAGCATTTCAATTCAAGACTCTTACGCAAAGGGCCACTCGCACCGACATGTACTGGTGAGAAGGAAAAGAATCGTCGAAAGAGATGGAATCAAAGATTGGGTCCGATCGCACCAAATTGAGCCAACGATTGCTGCTTCGAGTCCGGACTCGAGTTCGCAGTTGTTTTACGTCAGGCCAACATGGCCCACATCGGGTTGGTGAGATCGGGTTCGTTGGCAATAACCATCAGCGGTGAGTTAAGTCGGGTCGTGAAGCAATTATGTGAGGTACCTCGACCCAGAAGGTTATACATTAATTGTCTCTCATGCTTTTCACGCCCCAAAGTTTTGTACCCATAAGCTACCAGATACGTGGTGATCTGTGTCTGACCAGTCTCACGCGGACCCTCTGTGTGCCTCCAATCATAATAAAGGTGTCTTGTAGGTTGCAGAGATTGTTGCTTTTTGATGTTCTGCTGGGTTGAACGTATAGAGGCGGCAACCTCCGGGGCATCTCTAAACGTGATCCGGTGGAGCACCAGACCGGCCTCGTCGTTAAGAATAGCGGGACCTGACTATTCGCGTCGCGAAAGAAGCGGACAGCGGTCGTTGGCGATTCCAACCCACACCATTTGAGCCGATCGGGATCCCGATCCGAGGGCAGTGTCCAATCGCCGCTCGTCGACCCCCGTCCTACTCCTCCTCCGCTGCCGCCGCTTAATCCTCCCGTCAGCGCCCTATTCCAACCTAAATCACAATCCCAGCCGTCTGATTCTCCGCCGGTGGTAGTCCGGAGCAGCGATATGAGTGAGGCCCCGCCCTCCGCCGCTGGTGACGGCGACGCAGGCGGCGCCTCGGTGGCGACCGGCGCTAAAAGTACTATTTTCTAATCATTTATATCTTCCTTCCGCTCCTTACAATCTCAACTAGTCGCAGTTTGGATCGATTTTTGATGTCGTGATGACTAGGTACGATGGAGACGGTCAAGAACGTGTTTAGCATGTGGGGGAAGAAAGTTGGGAAGACGGCGAAGAAGGCTGAGGATTTGTCACGGAACACATGGCAACATTGTAAGTAGTGCGATCTTCAGATGAATTCTTCGTGAATAATTTTGGTTCAGATAGTCTGTTGCTTGATCGGTTGTTCTTATTTAAGGTTACAAAAGATTTAGGAAATTATGGAATTAACGGGATTTGTGGATGTCTGCTATTGTGTCCTTTTTTGGTGGCCAGGAAGATTATCGGGATATGCATTGCCTTGTACATGAGCATTATGGTCTTCATAGTAGTCTCCCCATATTTTGTTCTAACAAAAGCATAAAGCAGTTAGAAAAAGAATTTTAAGAAAATTGCAGATGGAATTTTGCTTGTCTATGGAGATATCTAATGAAATATAGACCAAATCATGTCCTTTCCATTAAAAAAACGTGTTTTTCTCTGTTTTGACTCATTGATGTTAGGTCTGAATCTGAGTCTTGAAGGGGAACCACTTGAGGCTTGTGAACAGAGACAACAATATATTCCTGCTCCTTTAAAATTAAGCTATTATGTTGAGTTGCCTCTTGGTGATGTTAGTTTGGTGCTGCATTTTGATGCTTCTTGAAATCCATGAAAGTTCTAAAACACAAACTAGGAGACCAAATTTCTGTTTCATTTGGGACAATATTCGGTCAGCAGTCTTTGGAAAGAGAATATTAGGCCACTATTTGTAACCTCCAAACATGGTTATTGATTAACTTATTCTTCTTTCTTCATAATCTTTATTATCCTTGAGGTCCTCTTTTGTCATGGATATTTGATGCATGATAATCGAACTAAATGCATATTTGAGAATAACCTAAAATGGGTGGCTCAGTGCAAAGACTCCCATCAACATGGGGTCTGGTGAGATTCATCCTTTGCAACCTTAGTAGCGAGGGTTTTTTCCATTGTCAAATGGGTGTAGTTTGTATATCGGCAAGGCCAGAAAGTTAAGTGCATATGATAGCGTGGCCAGTTTCAACTTATTGTTATGCTGGATATATGAAAGTTAAGTAAAAGCCATATTTCTTAGCATGCATTCTCTTTTGCTGACAATCAAGTGCTTTTGGCATTTCTAGGATGTTCAACATGTACTGATAAATTATGTGTTTAAATTTTTTCTACAAATTTGCTGTTTGTTGATCTACTATGAGTAAGAAACTCTCAGTCTTATATATTTGGACACTTGCATAAATGTTGAAGAGGGAAACTTGAAGTGGGTCACATATGTGTTCTATTAGCTAACTGCTTTAGTGAGGTAAATTACCACTACAGATTAACTCATAAGATATATTTCTTAAATTGATTCTCTCTGAACTGTTTTATAATATGTAGTCATTTTTCCGTTTGTTGTAAACTTGTTGTAGATGAGTACACCCTGTTCTGCTTCTCTATTCATTGATAAAATATATATGTATTTTGAGGCCTTCCGAGAGAGCAAATAGATCCTAGAGCCCCAGGGTCATGTATGTCTTACTGGTGTATGGTTTGTGTTCATATCAATTAGTTGGAGCAGGGAGTAATATATTATACTATGTTCAGCCTTATATTGGTTTCACTACTTTCTTGTTCATCAGGTATCTCCTTTATTAAAGTCTACTGTATTTTGTTTGTTTTATTTTGTACACTATTTGTGAATATACAATTTAACAAGGTAATGCACATGCTTACGTTTGGAAGTATTTATCTTCTTAAGTATGATTAAACATTATTGATATTTCTTATTAGCAATAATCTTGTTCCTTCTCTATCCAGTGAAAACAGGGCCTAGTTTTGTTGATGCTGCTATGGGTAGACTTGCTCAAGGTACTAAAG